TTGGCAGATGTCGCTGAACAGTTCTAGGTGTGTATACATGTGCGTCACAGGCAGGAAAACGCCCCTTGGTTTTAGCTACACCATCAACAACCATTCCTTAGAAACGGTCAATGAATACAAATATCTCGGTGTTATAATCACGTCAAAACTCAATTTAAACAGTCATGTAGCATGGATTGTGCAAAAAGCGATGGTGAAACTTTGGATCTTAAAAGAAAACTAAGACATTGTTTTAACCAAAAACAACACTAGCAGCGTACAGCACTACCGTACGCCGTGCGCTGGAGTATCCTGACGTGGTATGGGATCGCACTTCCAAAATAAACGTAAACCTAATTAAGGGACTTCAGAAGAAAGCACTTCGATTTGCGTACAACGAATACAGAAGAAAGAGTTAAATTATAAATTTATACAACTTATCAAAAGTGCCTCGTCTTGAAACCTGTCGCAACATAAATCGTCTTAAGCTTCTTTATACTATCGTGCACAACTCTTCGCGCATGTCATTCGAAAAGTATATGGAGTACAACTCAAGCTGGCACACGCGCAACAAGCACTCGAAAACTATTGTGGCCCCTTTCTGTAGAACTGACTCTCTAAAAAATAGCTTTTTCACGCGAACAATCAATGACTAGAATAGTTTGCAGCCACAATGTCATCACTTGCAGCAATGATAGAACAAATTTTTTTCGCGGCGACTGCAGAAGGCATATTAGGTTATTATTGTTGCGAGTTATTTGTTTCTCCTTTCGTTTTTATGGCCGTTGTTGTTGTCACTGTTTTTTTTTTTTTTGTCGTTTTTGTGTGTGCGCGATTGGTACCGTTTACTCGAGAGTTGATAGTGTCAAGTGAATCGATGTCACTTTTTTTCTACCATGATTTAACACTTTTTCTTTTTTGATCGCCGATGAGTTGTCATGTATCCTTGTTGCGTGCTAGGTTATCGTGCTCTTTTGTGTGTCTGTTTATACCACCCCTGCCTTTATAGACCAACACCCTGTTTACAAGCAAGCCGGCGTTTGCCCACACCTGGTGTGGGCACTGCGCATGCGCAGAAACCTGATTCGCGTGAACGGAAGCGTCTGCGCATGGGCAGTACCGTCAACGGCGCCACCGCAGCTGCGTGACGTCAGGGCCGAGTGTTGGTCGATATCCAAATAAATAAATAAATAAATAAAATGGCAGCCTAGTTCAACGCCGGTTCCTATGGGGACGTGGTATTGATGAGAACTTCAGGCTGGAAGGCTCGGTGAATCTCCTCTTGAAAACCTCGGTGAGCGATAGTGAAGACGGGCGATCCGCCAAGGGAAGCATCTTGAGGAGCTCTTCCCGGACGACTTCACGGATGATGTCGCGAATGCCGGAGATGCTAGGGATGATGTCGTAGCCCATTGCAGAAGAAGCAGCGATGCCCGAATGCCGATGGTAGTGGCTGGCTCTTGCGAGGGGGCACGTTCCATGCTCGAGGCTTCCTTGACGAAATCTTCGACGGTGGATAGGGGTTGCGAAAAAGACCACCGAAGATGTCATCCTTTGCACCTCGCATCAGGATCCGTAGCGTCTTTGCGTCGATGGCTTCAGGATCGGCGCGAGCGATCAGGAGCAGAACATCCTCGACGAAACTGGTGATAGTGTCCTTTGCATCCTGGGTCCTCATTCGAAGAACGTTCTCGGCCCTCTGCCGTTGATACTGGTTGGTGAATGTCCGTCTCAGCTCATCCTTGCAGGCGGTTCACGAGATCAAGGAAGTTTAGAGATTTTTGAACCAGTGCCTGGCCGTTTCTTCGAGCGCGAAGTAAAGAGTCTCCAGGCGCTCTTCGTCAGTCCATCGGTTGTGCTGGGCCACTCTCTCGTACTGCTGTAGCCAGTCGTCTACGTCTCCATAAGGCTCACATGAAAGGACGCGGGCGTACGGGCACCGCCGGGTAGGACAACGACCGGTGGAGTGCTCATCGACGCGGTCTTTTTCTTCAGCCTCTACGGTAGGAGTGGGAATTGATAGGGTTGTCCTTTGGAACGGCGGCTTGTTCGGTCTTCGGAGTCTTCGGTGAAGGGTAGCCATCCGGGGCTGAGCACCTCACCTGGCCGGGGTGTGTCTTCGGAGGTGTACGTTTCAAAAGCATAGAATGTAATACCCAGCACCTCCACTAAAATGTCACGAATGTCAAATGATGAGGAGGTGAATTAACTCGAGAGACTAAGCACCAACTTTGACAAACTTGTGCCTAAAACAAAAAAAAAAAAGGAAAAGGCTAGCGTCGCCGGCGTCGGTGGCGGCGAAACAGCAGGGTCGATCGCTGGGGCGAGACTGCCTCCAGCTCGCCACGCTGAGTCCCTTGTGTACCAGCGTGGGTTTCCCAAATATTTGGCGTAGAACATTCATACCTCAATCAGACGACAAGGTTCTCGAACTTACGAGAACGCTGAATAGAAAGGATAAATAAAAGACACGCCACTTCCAGGGATTGCACCCGAGGATTCTGCACAAAAGCCAAGCACGGTAACCACTCGGCCACTCACGGGCTCCATCGGCGACGCGCGTGCCAATATAAGCTGCTTATCTTCTTTATTCATCAAATTTGGTAAACCATCCTCTTGTCGGAGACGTGGTTCGAGAATTTCTAGGTAGGAAACTTGTAGACGAGCAAAGCGCCCCAGTAGAAGGGGAAGAGAAAATAGTAATAGTTACCAGATATTTCAGAGCTTATGAACCTAGTCAGATTACTCTTAAGAGTATCTCCTAAAAACGTAATCAAATGATTACAAACATACTACAAAAAGTAATCGAATTCAAGTAATTCGATTACATGCAACGCGTACCTTACAAGTTAGGTATAAACGTCAAAGTAAAAAGGAAAGAGGCTGGTGTAGCTCTGGAGCTTTACCAGGTCGGTGGGCCTAAAGGCTGCTTCAGACATCTGCAACAAGCGCGTTATCTACGACTGTGTGCGCTGTAACGGGAAAGACTCGAATAACCGCTCCGCGCCTCTCGTACGCGCTCCTGCAATCTCTGCAACACTGCAACATTGCAAATACTGCAATCACTGCAACACGTCAGCCGTCAGCACGGCGGCCGCTTCGCCATCAGTTGTTTCCACGGTGCCTCTAAGAAGGAGGCGACGCGCTTCCGCTGACTGGCGAACGGAAAATGAACAGCCTGTTTTCTATAGACCTTTCTAAAAGAAAAAAGGCTGCTGGCCGGTTTTATTTTCAGTGTTCGTGCGTATAGCGCATAATTTGCTCGCTTTCCAAAGGGACGAACATGCGCGTGCTGGGCAGAGCAGACCCCACGCTGCGCTGAGGACTTGTAAATATTGCATGGGTGTATAACCTTAAGGTTTATTGATTTTCAGTTTTCCAAGACAGGGCTCGCAGGGTTGAGGGGATAAAAAAAATAAGATACGATACGCCTTTCTCGCCGATTACGACCTTAATGCACGAGTTCACCAGTACAACGAACCTTGCCGCACGATTTTTTTATGATTACAGAAGACGATGTAATTTTAGCAGAGATATAGCGACGTCGAGATATAATATTCCGATCACATAGACGTTGCAATCGTTCAAAACTTCCACCACTAGTCACTTCTCTCGGTTGATACAACGTGTTAGGATTCCCATCCTTCAAAAACGTACCTCAAAACCAGTACGCACCCGTAGTACCTTGAATATGAACACATGCATTGAGTACGTAAGTTAGAAATCCGGGCGATGTTTGAGGACAGATTGTCGAGCTAGACAGACACTACGGCACGAAGAGGAGGAAGAAACTATTAAACAAAAGGCCCAAGTTCAGCGCTCTACAAGAAATACACACACAAAAAAAAGATACTGTCTTAGGCGCCTGGTGGAACATAGGGGATACGGGCCACAAGGGCCCTCCACAATGCCACCGCGTCCGCTCCTTCAGGGGGAGCGAGCCAGTCCTGAAGAAAATAAGGTTAGAAACCGGGAGCGAGAGAGCCAAGGTGTTGCTAGCGGGATAAAAAGGTGCGTGGACACGTGTGGGGTGTCAGGGTAACCTGAGCAGTGAGCGCATCGGGGGAGGAAGATCGGTCTAGATATCGAATGAGGTGAGAGGTGGGGAAGCCGTGTGTCTGGGTTTGAAGAACAAAAGAGGCGTCTTGGCGTGGGAGACGTTTGCAGGGGAGTGCAAATAGGCAGGACTCATCCAGGAACTCTCGAAGGGTTCTGGGGTGACTAGCTCGTTCCTGACGGGATATGTCAGGGGGATGTTTGTGGTTAGGAGAGGGAATCCGGAAGTCTTCCGTTGGGATTGCAGCACGGGAGAGTTGGCCAGCCTACCCGTTGCCCGGCACTACGACGTGGCCTGGAAGCTTCTGGAGTGTACATGTGGAGTGGGTTGTAGGGCCAGATGGACTGAGAGTGTGTGCAGAACGTAGGAAGGAAGGGCGTGGTCAATGAAGTCGCGAAGAGTTTCCTGACAGTCGGTTTGGATGATGCAGTGGCAGGGAGAGCAGTGGCAGAGAATCGCCTAAGCTAAAGCTTGGGATTCGAGGGAGAGGGTGTCGCTACAAGCATACCTGCTGTCTCGAGGGGGCCGCAACGACATCGCCGCACGAGTAGATGCACCTTCTCCTCTAGGACGTGCTGATTTATTATCGCCACACACGACAAAACTCACAGGGAAGGATAGCACTCTATAGGGAACGATGAGCTTGCATTACGCTGACCTCGTCGACAATCGCCACCGAAGCCATGTTTTTCAGCGGATAGCGGGAACCACCACGTGCATGAAATATACGCTGCCGAGCTCTCCTCGACCTATTATTGGTTTGTCAATATGCTCGCTCCGTTTTTTCCCAAAACTTAATTACAAAGTTCGGCACGGCTAAATTTTTTTGCCTTCCGAACGACACGGCCATTTGACGCTTCGCTGCCACGGAAACTCGTCGTTCCAACCGGTTACTATCGTTCGTAGTCGTAACGGTCGTTTGAACACAACTTTGTGAACGGGCCTTAATAACGTTGCGTCTTACCTCGCCACCAACCTTTCCGCACTCTTTGTGAAATTGATTTTCAAGATCTTTTTTACATTCCTTTGGAATGTGGGTCAGATTTTCATTGAGATACCAGTTCCCACGCATTGATTCCGCATCTGAAGAAACAAAAATTTCAATGTACATCTGGGAGAAACATTCACGCAACAGAACACGAGTTTTTATTTTCAGTTATTTCGAACCGCCAGTTATCGACAGGCCAAGGTAGGACTGGGTACAGATTACAAAGAACACATGATCAAAATAATCAGTCAGCAAATAGTGGAAAACATTCGAGGCACGATTTTTTTTTTAGAGGTAAAAATATCTTTGGGTAACTGACACAACTATCAGGCAAGCTATTCCAAGCATCTATATGCCTTACAAAAAAAAAAGTGGTAACTTTCGAACAGCACCTGTAAGAATCAAATGCCTCTTGTGCTTATTTTGTACTTCACAGGAGTCTGATAATTCAATCTATTTATCTTTGTTCAACAATAGGGCATCATTAATAATTTAAATGAACATTTTCACGCGATTTATTTCCTTGTGCATCCATATATTGCTAAACCCAGCTCTACGTCGCAATTGAGTACTCGATGTGCTTCATATATATCATTGTGCAGGCTGTCCACCAAAAAATTCGATTTTCTTTCCTCAATAACTTGTTACAAAGCGAATAAACAAAAAATGGCGGACAAGGACAGACATCTTCCGTTTTTGTTGGTCTTCTTTTTTTCTGTAAAAAGTTATGGAAAACTAAAGTGATCAACGTTCAACTGTTTTTTTTTTTGTTTTTTTTTCACAACAAAAATAAATTACGCATCGCTGAACACTCACTGTTCACCCAAATGTAGCCTTAGATGTTCAGGTCAGGTGCCAAAGTTTTAGAATTAACTATTACTTTCTGCGTAAGTTCATTTCTCAAATTTTCGATTGAAAAATGGCGTCCGATGGAGCTCTCGAATATATGGAGCTGAATGGCGACAGTTACCGGAATTGGGCGAAAACTGAGCCTGTGGTTTTCTATTGAAAGTTTCAAAGATGACTTTTAATTTTTGTGTTTAATGACGGGTAGTTTTAATATTTTGGCCTAAGGCTCGAGCCGTTAGAGCTACATTTGGGCGCAGAATGAGCATTCGGCAATGCTTAGTTTATTTTGTCAAAAAGAAAAACACAAATGTTTTTGGGGAGACGCTGTAGATAAACCTTGGTCTAAATCCTTCGTTGTTTCTCTTTCTTGTTTTTTTTTCGTAACGTGCAGGTTTTTTATAGGGCGCTGACACACTTCACAGTTGGTGAAGTCGAATTTTCAAACGCTGTTTTGAAATTAATGTGATGAGTATCTTAAAGTTCTCCAGAAGTTCCGATGCATGGCCTTTCATGTTTTTTTTTTTTGTTTTGTTTTGTTTTGTTTAGATTGACAGAAAATGCTCACTTGAGGTACAAACGATCAAGTACCTCTAAGTCATTATATTTCGTCACTTGTCGGGGAAGATTCTTCCCAGCAAACAACACTCGGCCAGGGATTTTTCGAGGGTACGTATCTATTCTTACTCCGGACGTAACTTCTATTATTTCGTCCTACTTCCCTGTTCTAGAAAGATCCTGTTTATTCTCACCCCGAACGCTCGACGCTTGAACCTTCTGGGCCGAGTTTTCGACATGCTGCCGAACGCTAGATAAGGAGCTGCGCGGGACTTTGTCGAGTCCGTCTCGCTCTCCCTTGCTGTTAAGCCGCCAAATCGCAGCACGCTTTTCAGCTGCCTCAAAGCTCCTTTTTTATTATGTTTACCGAAGGTTCCCCGATTAAACTTTTATTTTTAGTTAATTATTCATTGTCTTGTCGCGTTCATCCGTGACATAATAATTTGGGGGACGCCGGCTTTAGTCTTTTTGGTACGCGTTATGCAGGTTATACACATTATGTGCCACAAGATCACATCGCAGCCAAAGCATATCGCCTAAAAATTAGACAAGCGAAGACGTCTAACAAGTGCGTCAACCGGCACGCCAACGATGCGGCCACATACGAATCCCTTCATCTGTCCCAGGAGCTCTGTAATCTCCTTTATTGTTTTAAACACGAAAGTGTTGAATCATAATGTTTGTGGTGCCTGAGACTATGGTGCGGGAAAATGAAGACACTTTCAAGACGAAGAAAAAGATGACGGAAGGAGAACGGGTCTAGGCCAAACCGTCGAAAGTCAACTCGTTGACGGCCAGCTCGTCGGCGGCCCATTCGTCGAATAGGACAATTCGTCATCATAGAGCAACTCGTCGAAGGAAAACTCGATAAAGAGGCCAACTGGTCGCCGCTTTTTTAAAACCAAGATATATAACTTTGACATTAGATTTTAATGCAAATACTGCCCTATACACTCCGTGCGACGTGACCGCCGTGCCGCCGCGCGGCCGTTATCGAAGGCAGGCAGTGAGTACCCAGCGAAACGAAACCAAGCTGCCTACCCAGTTGGTACGCATTGTAGTTGGAGCGGTGCGTTGAGCTAGGTTGATAGTATGAACTGCCGCGTCGTTTAGTGCTTCAATAGTTATGCATCGTGTCTCGTGGGTACAAAGTTTTGTAGTTTTTCAATTGGCTGATGTTTATGGGACAGCGGCAGCCATGAACCCGCGCCGTACGACCCAAGAAATTCGGTCTCCCGATCATGTCTGCCACTGTTCTCAGACGTCTAAGACGTCTGACATGTTCTCAGACGTCTAAGTAGTTCAACTACTTTTCTTAAGTTACTGTACTTTAACTACTTTTCTAAGTAGTTTAGTACCTTTCAATTATATTTATATCGGTAATTTCTAGTTTATTTTAATTACTTGTTCCAAGTAATTTCAACTCAAGGTAAATATTACTTTCAAATTTTAGTAGTAAGTTTGATTATCAACAAACATTTCTGCACAAAAAGAAAAAAAGATGTTGGAAGATGAGCTGATATTTCCAAAGTGGCTCAAGCGTCTGGCGTAGGCAGGGGGGGGGGGGGGGATTTACAGGGTCCGAAAACCCCTAAAAGTTTTACGAGCCCCTCACTGCAACAACCCTGCTACGCGAGGCGCGGGGAGAGGACATACACGTGGCAAGTGAGGCCGAGTAATGGCGGCATTAGCACCGAAGACTGGAGTTTTCTTGAGTTTCGAAGCTCTGGGAAACAACGCAGTTGGAGAAAGGGCTTGTTCCCGTTTTTCCCCAATGTAGGAGCTCTCGCGCACTACAGGAGTTCTACACATCGCATCCTCACTCAAAGAAGGCAACAAAATGCAGCAGCCGTTCTGAAGCTCAACTGGTGCTGCTCCCACAGTTTTTGCTGTACTTCAAGAATCGCCTGCTAAAGGGCAACGCAAAGGTCAAGTCTCCGCGTCACTTTCCCTCCCAGAACTCAGAATATGCAGGTCTTTTAAGATTCGGAGATCGTTCGAGAAACCTTAATAATTCCCCCAACGTTTTTACATTAATAAAAATAAACAAGCTGTGCTGGGAAGTATTTTAGGTACATGGTTCTTAAGGTACTACTACTTCAAGCTGTTTTACAAAACTTGTATTTTACTTTGAGTACATGCTCTGAGCATGTACTTATACTTTACTACAGCAGTTTTTTTTTCTGGTACTTTCCGAGGAAATTACAACTCCCGATTTCAAAGTACGTTCCCCAAATCTGAAACTGAAAAATTGCGTATCGTTATATGAGAATAAGTTATCGTCTTTTGAGTCGTCATCTGGTCATATCTCTGAGCGAAGGAATTGTGGCTACAAGACCGATACAAATAAGTGTATTCATTTTGCCCATTCATCCTATATACAGCGTTTATATATACACATATATATATATATATATATGAATTAGTCTACCACAAATTCACTGAGTTCAGGATGAACCTACCTTAACTCAATTAATTTGTGGTACTCGAATTTCAGGATATAAACGCCTCGTCGATTATGTGAAAAAAGTCCAGCGGTTGTACTCTCTAGCAACCGGGAAAGTTTCTCGTCGTAAGCCAGCGTGCCGTGTGATTGATAGAAGATGTAAAATTCTTTTCTTGGAATATATAAGAAGCGGATATTATCTAGATGACCTTGTTATCTTTTCCCCCATCATTATGCAACGCCACCCTCAACGTATCGGCTCGATGAACCAAAGTTCCGTCCGTGCGCGCTTCCGCCGCCACAGCTTCGCACGCGAAAAGGCACCGCAGGCTGTTGAACGCGTCTCACTGTCGAAGGCCAGCACCTCCGTTTGCGGCGCAACGCGCGTTTTTCAAAGCACCGCCTATAGTTCCCGCACGGAGTGTATAATAATCCGTAAAATGGCCGCACGGTAGTCAATCTCCTGTGGGCTTTTTCTTGTCGAAGGTAACAACTTGCCGCTTTCGCCGCCTTCACCGGGCGTGTATCACTTGGGCGCGTGTTAACCTATCTGTGGCTCTTATCCCGCCCATCCATTCACGCCGTTTCGCGGAGACAATCTCAGAATCAGAATCAGAATCGGCTTATTTTTGTCACAGCGCTTTTACACACATGTGACAAGGGGGACCAGGAAAAAAAGCTGCAAGTTTGCAGCTTGACGGGTTCCTGCCCACGAAAACACAGGGCAGAGCGGCACTGTCACCAAAAACACACACACAAAAAAGACACAGTGAAAATAACTTACGTGACATGACATTTAGCAATATATTAAGTATCGTCTCAATACACATTGAAATAGATAGATATAACAAACATAAGAAAAACAATCTATTACCGGCAAGTTTAAATTTTACGGACATTTGACGAAAGTTTACCAACACTCATCTCCAGACACGAAAGAAAAACGCAATAAAGATAACTTATATAAGATATCGTATAAAATAAGTGTCATTGAAAATAGGTTGCGCTTCAAAAACAGACTAAAATAGTAGATATACCAAACATACGACAAACATTTTCACTCAATATAATAAAGCCTGAGCTCTATGGGCACTTAATGAAGGTGAATCAACTTCTTGGGAATATAAGGTGTTCAACAGTGACGGTAATCTCTAACTCAACCTCTGGAAGCCAAAACTAAGTTCTAGATGATGGGATTCTCCAGGGATGCCAATGGCGTGAGGGATGTAAGGATACATTATTTTG